CGATCTCGCCGGGCTGAGGATGTCTGGAAGCTCCTCGGGAAGGCAGGCGGCGTCGGCGGAGGTAGGCCGCGGAGGGGGAGATAGGGGCTGGGGGTGAGGGGGTCCCGGGGCCCACAGTTGCCCTGAGGAAGCTTTTTTCAGCTTCCGGGAAGAGGCCGGCGGCTCCGATTAGCAATATTTTTAGGCTCGGTAATTAGTCCTTGGTCGCTGTGTTGGCAGTTCCTTTTCAGTTGCGGTTTTTTCTATGTGTAAGATGTTTATTTTCGTACTTGCTAGTGCAATGTGTAAAAAGGAAACCTCCTCACACGGTGCTATCCGGTGCCCTGGTAAATATGCAAATTCAACTAAAAATAGTTTTTGTGAGAGTAATGTTAAAAGTAAACCGTGCAGAGACAAATCCCCTTTCCCAGTTGCGAATGCCTCTGACTCTCAGATAACCTCTTGTCTGGTAATGGTCTGTTGCATTAATTTATGAGACATATAAACTGTGGAGTATTCGTGGAGCTTTTCGGAGATGAGGTATCTATTCTGTTACTCCTGTTTTCGTGGAACTGTGTTTTGGTATGTAGCCCGTTATGGTTCCTATGCTAAAAGGTTATTGTGCAGCTGTTAGCAGGTTTTGGGGTCCTGTCCTGCCTTCCCCGTCTGTCCACTGACGGCAGCTGCTGGGGAAAGAAGCTCTTTCCCCGATGCCCTTTGCGGGCTAGGTGCTAGCTAAGTCTAAGTTTGTACACCTGTCCTAGCAGGGTATTTCTCAAATCCAAAATTAAATATTGACGCTATTACTAGTTTCGTTCTGTGTCACAGTCAGACAGACTTCTGGTACATGTGACAGTCTGATTCTGCATCAGTCCAAGCTTCCTCATGCAGCAAACAAATAATACCCGTTTACTGTGCTGCCTAAATAGTTTTTCTCCGTTGCTTAGTTCTAATTTTTAAACACAAAAGGCTGCATTGTAAATGTTAAAAAAGTAAAAAAAAAAAGCCACATGCTGAAAACCATGTAGAGGCAACATGAACATGACCTTAATGCCAAAATGCTATAAATAAGCTTATGCTATTTTTTCATTCTTATCTCTCTTTTAATTTTACTTTTTTAGTTTGAATGTGTGTTTGTAGAATCTTTAACTTGTTCTGATTTGCCAATTTGCTGCACAATACTCTGTCACAACATGTGAAGTGTAGCTTTATCTTAATACTGAAGAAGAATGTAATTGATACATTCAAAAAGCGTAAGTCCCCCTGTTTGTTGCTAACTGGTAGTATGCCTTTCAATGCTAATGAAGTTCTTTACATCTATGAGATATTCTTATATACACTTGATAAAAATCTCCAATTTTCTAAAGATAACTGTACCCAATTAAGGGGAGGAGAGTGCTACACTAATAGCAAAACATTTGTGTTTTACCAGGCAACAGATTGGTTGGCACGTTCATTTGATGACTTCTTTGGAAACACAAATATTTCTTCTAGTGCAGTTCCTGTGAAGTCACTAGAAGGCAACTCTGGAAGAAACCGGAGCAAAAAGAAGAAAGAACTGTCTTCTGTGCCAGACAGTAGCAAAACTAAAGTTCTGCCCAGAAAAAGAGCAAAGTTGTCTTCAGTAGATCTGCCTTGTAACAAGCCCAGACAAAACTGGAGCCAATCTCAAGATGAGCCGTGGGTAGATAGATACAAACCTGAGACTCAGGTGTGAGAGTTATTCTAAGTGCTAATGTAGTAGTAACATTATAGTGTAGCATGTTGTGCTTCTGTTTGTGATCTGGATTGGTCGGGTTCTAAGTATATCCTATTTTATAAGGGCAGTGAAGTACTGGTTCAATTTATTTATGGTCTGTAGTTAAGATTTTAATGAGCTATTTTTTGCGTAGGAAATGCATTTTTTCCTCAGGCTTCCTGAGCAGATAAAGCTACTGATGAGCTGTTGTTTCCTGTCCATCCACTCCTAAACTTTTGAACCTGTTACTGAGTTTCAGCCAGATCTGACAGCTCCAAGTACTAAAGAAAGGAGAGAGAACTGACTTAGTGCACTCATTATGGGAAACAACAGGAATTACCTTGCATGTTTCTGGACAGCAGTTAGCTGGTCTGTTAGTATGTTCAGACTACTTGACTAACTGCAGTTTGCACTCTCTCTTGCTCGCTTGATACATCTTAAGCATGACTTTGCGGGTGGGGGATACTATGGTAGCTTAGGGCTTCGAGGGGAAAGGGCTCAAATCTGTAGTAAACCTGTCTTTGCTGGTTCTGCTCGTGGAACAGCTTTTTCACAGTGTGCTTCAAAAGTGTCAGCACGTGTGTTAGCTGTCTCCTAGCTTGTCGATGTAAGTGAGTGTAGTACCTGTATTTTATATTTAAATATTTGATAGCTCATCCATGGAGAGGAATTGAGTTACAAGGCTAGAAGGTGAGTAAGCTGCATGAGATTTGTGGAAGTTCCACAAATCTATGTAGTATTAGATTCAGTAGAGCCTAAAAAGTGCCAGCGATAGCTATAAAGCATACTGACACAATCAGGCAAGATTGTAATGTTGTTACTTTAGGGATAATAAATAATTCATTCTTTTCCAACAGCAAGCAATGGAAAATTGGCTGTTTGAGGAAACAGGCTGAAATTATTATCCTTGATTGTTGTGCTTACTTCTACATAGCATAAACATATGTAACTGGAATATACATGTGCATGTCTGTTAAAGTTATAGTCAGCATGTATTCTGTTCTTGAATCTTGTCATCACAGTCTTAGAAACCAAGAGGTGCATATATGCATTTCACGTATTTTAACTTTGTTTTAGAATGACCTTGCTGTGCAAAAGAAGAAAATTGAAGAAGTTGAAACCTGGTTAAAAATGCACATATTTCAGAGGCAGCCAAAGCAGGTAATCTTGCTAAAATTAGCAGCTAGAGATATAGAACCATACAAATGAGCTGGATTCAATTTTATTTTAACTTCAAGGAAAAACCTGAACTTAAAAGTAGGGATTATATATCTATTGCATTATACGAAACCTGTTAAGAACATGGATTAGAGCTTGTACATTTGTTTAGGGCTTATGCTGCTAAGAGGTGGATTCTGGTTTTGCTTAGAAATACCGTTTTCTAGCATCCAGTCAGTTCATACGTCTTCAGTGTGTGCTTATAACTGCATTTTATCTCCCACAGGTTAATTTTAAGTATCTTAGCAAATTTCCAGTTGCACTGACTTGACGTAATAGGATGTTTTTAACCTCTTGATTGCTAAGAGGCATTCTTATGCATAATTTATCAGTCTTGGCTAGTGTTTTTTAGAGCCGGTTCTCCAGTTCAGTATGTATTATGTTGTTAGTATACATGGTGTGCAGTTGACTGAACAGATACATTAAAAACTGAGAGCAAGGCTTTCAGAGTTCTGGTCTAGCTCTTTTTATTTGAATACTCAACAGGTAAATTAATAACACAAAATATTTAAGTCAGTTTTTATTGGGAAAAGAGAATCATTACCAGAGAAACTATAGAACTTCAACCAATATTCATCTTCAGCCAACTTTCAGTCTTTATTTATCATGTTTGGAATTTTTCTTTTTTTTTTTTTTTTTCTTTTTTTCCTTGTGGCAGAGTGGCTCTGTTTTACTGCTGACTGGTCCTCCTGGTTGTGGAAAGACTGCAACTATACAAGTATTAGCAAAAGATCTTGGCGTTCAGGTGCAAGAATGGACCAATCCAATACCTTTAGACTTTACGAAAGAAGACTTAAGAAATATGCTTGGCCATGGTAAGTATTTTGATTTTTTTTCTTTTCTTTTTTTCTTCCAGTTACTTTTGTGATTTTTGTATTCTGTATTTTTTTTATTCTATTTATTTGTTTTATTTTATTCTCTGTCACATATGAAGTCAGACCCACATCCATGTAAGTCAGATCCTTAGTGTTTAATAAGAATCTTTTGCTTTTATCTGAAAAGGGATTTAGTTTTTTTACAGTGTTTAGTCCAAGATAATTTGCAATTGAAATCAGTATAGAGAGCTATGCAATAGCCTGGATGTCATTTGAGCCAATTCAATAAAAATAGGTGAGCGTGTCTTGGTCTGGGTCCTCAATTGAATTCTACCTTTTAAAAATTCCCTTGTATTTGCAATGTGTTTGCCAAACGGCTTGACTGCTGGTGTTGAATGGCTACTGTCAGAAAATAGCATGGGTGGGTATCAGTTCTGGCTATTTATATTCTATGTGGTATAATATAGACTACGTATTTTTAATTAGTTTTCTTTTTCAGACTCAAATTTTCATACGTTTCCGAGTCAGGCTCAAGCAGCTCTCTTTCAAGATTTTCTATTAAGAGCAAATAAGTATAACAAACTTCAGATGCTTGGGGAGTCCTCAGAAAATGATAAAAAGCTTATTCTTATTGAAGTAAGTGAAAACTTGTGAAATCTTGTTGTGAAAGCAATGCCTTTTATTGTAATATGGACATGCTAACTAGCTTCAGCTGTTGGACTGGTATTGCCAAAAGTTAGTCTGCTGTACTGCAGATGCGTTCTTTATTGCTTTTTTAGTCTCTACAGCAGGCTAGAACCAGGTTCTACCTGTAGTTAAACTATGTAAGCTGATAATCAGGCAGAAATTGGAGACTAGTTTATGTACAGAAATAAGTAATAGAGTATCAAAAAGTAGATCAAAACAATATTGAAAAGTCATACCCATGTTTCTGTATGATTAGCTTTTTAGAAATATACATGTGTATAAACAGGAAGAGGGGAAAAAACCCCCACTCTTCTTGTTACTTAAGGATGCACCAGAGTGTAGGAGATAAATTAATACAATCAGAAAGCATTTGAAATTTAGCATTCCCTGGTCTTATGCGGGGGGAGGGGAGTGTGTGGTATTTAGAGCAGAGATGTGAACTCTGAGATTTTGTGAGCTGTAACGGGAGGTAGAGGAGAAGACTTTATTTTTACTTACTCAGGAGTGTGTTTCAATACCATTTTCTGAGCTTTCCATTTTTTCTGACAGAGGAATTTTGTAAGTTATGATAGTCAAGTTGTCTGTAAACTTTCAAGAAAAAGAATAGATGAGATAAAAATTCTAGCTGAGTAATGTGATGAACTGTAGAATTTATGAAGCATAGTTTTCTGTGACTTCTCTTCATGAAGTCACTTCCTTGTGTAGGTCCTCTCATATCTCAAATAGTATATCCTGCCCTCTTCCTCAGTGGAGCTGCTACCTTGAGTGTTTATCCTCTGAGTAAAACCCGTTCTAGTAGGCAATGTAATCACCCAAGGCTGTTTCTTGGGAAACAAGGACAGAAATAAAATGTTTCTTTTTAGATAATTTTTTTCCATAAAAAAAGAAAAAAATACTGTGCTTTGGGGTTTTTTCTTCATTTGTTTTCCCCTGGTTATCTTCACTATTAGCAGCATTCAAATTTAGTTGAAAGCAAGCTAACTAGGAAGAAGAAATGTGTAGCAACGTAGTGTGCCATAACAGTCAGTCTGTGGGAGAGAGTATATACATCTGAATGCAATGACAGCATTTCATTTGTTTTGAACAGGACATACCTAACCAATTCTATCGAGACCCTAGCAGTCTACATGAAATTCTCAGGTCAGTTGCAAATAAGTTTTTAATGATTAGCTTTAGCCACTTGCAGTAAACTGGAATTTGATTCTTGTTATACTTGCTTATTTTTCAATTTAGGAGATTTGTTTGTACAAGTAGATGTCCCCTTATATTTATAATCTCGGATAACTTCAGTGGAGACAGCAACCAGAGGTTACTATTCCCAATGGAAATTCTAGAGGAGTTGTGTATATCCAATATTAGGTAAGATCTTTTGTCTCAGTAAAACTTGATTGAAATAAATGAGAAGTCAGAAACTAATTAATTTTTTTTTTAAATGAAATTTAACAGTTTCAAGCCTGTTGCACCAACAAATATGATGAAAGTTCTTAATCGAATAGCTGCAACAGAAGCTAGTATGGTAAGTTGTCAAAACTGATAACTTCTGTGCAGTGCCAAGATGAAAAGATTTCAGACTTTTACATCTGAAATATGTTATTTGTATTTGTTACTGTATTTGTTTGATCTTTGATAGCAGACCCCCACACCCCCCAAAAAAAACCACCAATCCCCCCCCAACACAAAAAAAAAGGAAGTAACTGGAAAGGTGTCTTGTTTTTAAGATTAGTTCCACGTGATCCTTGTTGTAAATCTTCAAAGTTACTTCTGAAAATTCTTCTGCCTGTTACAGAAACTATATATATGAAACAAATAATAGGAATAGATGTAATTTTCATTGTATCCCGCAAGGCCAGAAGAGCTAACGAACCTAAATCCTATGTTATTCCTGAACTGTTTTGATTACAACCAAGTCTAATATTGAGTGACACCTTGCAAAGAATTATGTGCATTATTCTCTTTAATATTGCTATATAAAACATGGCAATATGCTTAAATGGATTAAATGTTTTAAAGTTAGCAGTATTACATGGTTTGAGCACATGGTGGGTGCTCATGAGGTCTGTTTATGGTGTGTATCAGAGGTGGGTCCTCACAGCCAGAATAGTGTTCAAGTACTCCTTTTCCTACTTTTTCTTATTACTTTGAATGTTGCTTTTCCTTGTAGAACAGAGAAAAGAATTATGCTCTTGATAGAACTTCTTTGGAGTTGCTTTGCAGAGGTTGTTCAGGTGATATAAGAAGTGCAATAAACAGTCTTCAGTTTTATTCCATGAAAGGTAAATACCTATGATTTTGGTAAGTGAATGACATTTTGACCATTTCTGCTGTAAAGGTATTCTGTTCACTGTGCAGCACAGCTAGGTGAGCTGTGTAAAACATTTTTGACATGCTGCTCTGGAGCAAGAATAAAAGACACAAAGTTTGTCTTTGGGTTTTTTTTTTTTTGTTGTGGTGTTTTTTCTAAGCAGAAAATGTTCCATCTCATGACTGTTACCTGTAGTCTTAAAACTGAGTAATATCTGCTACTTATGTGTTGATGTAATTTAATGAAATGTACTCTTTTCTTCTTGATATCTTTGCTATTGGTATGTGTTCACTGATCAAAGCTTTTATGATGCAACCTTAATTTGAAAGGGATATTTTCATTGCTTGCTTTTTCTCCATGTCCTTATCTCCGCCCTTAAAGCATTTCTGAAATAGCCCGTTGACTTTGTATGCAGCATTTCTGTAATGATTGATTTTGTTTTGGAGTTCCTACAGCTGTTGGTAAATTGAAAAGCTGTGAAGTGGCATGACCTACTGTGAAGCTATTGAGTGTATTATAGAATAACTTTGAAGTTCAGTGTTTTAGTAGTCTTCAAAGTACTTGGTTGGATAATGCTCAAATCAGACTTAGTTTGGATTATTTTAAATGTTCCAACAACAAAAGAAAACAGGAGACTTACTGTCATGTCTCTTATAAGCCTTGGAAGTCAATAACTGTTAAGAAACCAACGTATGCAAGTTACATAATCTATGATTTCTAAAAGCCAGTACTCTGGCACGTGTAGTTCATTCTAAGAACTGTTAGATGGTGCCAGCATTTATATTTAACCTAGAAATAAAGTAGTGAATTGAACAGTTGTCTTCTGCAGTATGTTGTAAAGCTAGCAATGATCTTGTTGCTTTTACTCATTTTCTGTCCCATCCACCTTGCAAATAGAAAATGTGCTCATGGAATACAGGATTAAATGTAGTTTCAAGTCCTTGTGGTAGGAGGGAGTGTTCTAGTTTGAGTTTTAAAGTGTATTGAAATTAGCTTAGCTGTGTTGGTTAAATTACATGAGGGAGAGAGTCAAGTTTCTAGGTTTAATTAGCAAATGTGGAAACTAAATTCTTCTGATGTTGTCTTCTAGTATGCTAAGGTCGTATTGTTCTGTGTTAATGACAAAAATATAAAATTCCTCTCAGTAAACCCATTGTGATGATAATGCCATTGAGTTAATAAATGGTAGGTTGGTGATAGCTGAGAATAGTTTGCAGTAGCTCACTGCTGGATGTTAAGTAGCTTCTACATACTGTAGAAAATCTAAATGCTCTTAAAATGACCAGTTTGTGTAATTTTTAATAAATTACCTTGGAAATGTAAAAACATGAGAGTTATAAAGGGAACTTGGGAGAAAACAAAGGCATATGGCTTGACAGCTTCTGTACGTGACATCTCAGAATCGTGTACTCAAGTCATACTACACTGAACATCCTCCTCTCACATTTTGTGTAACAGATTGAGAAGAGCTGCCTTTGTGTGCGATTGAAATACCTGAACAACTAAAAAATTTCTGTTAGATAAATGATTGGCAGCCAGTGATATTTTGTAAATTTTGGAGACCCCTCACCTCCTTGTTGATCTTCTGAGAACACAGTATTAGTTTTTACATGTATATAATTTATTTCTTCACTTGTGTATACGTGTAAACACAAGCGATAATTCACTTTATAGTAGTATTAATGGGTAAAATGGATCCATGGTAATCGTGGGAGAAAAGAAACACAAATACTTAAAGGATAAATTCTCTTAGCTTGATAAGGAACATTCACCTGCCACTAAATCATATTGTGAACATTTTTGAATTTTAAATTAGAGTAGAAGAAGGGTTTTATTCCTTGGAGCTCAAAACATTGTGGAAATTGGCTGTTGGAAGAATCACCTAAATGAAAGATTTTCTTTGCCACCTTATATTTCAGTGAGTGTATTATACAGATAATGCAAATAGAAGAGAAATTGATAAGTGAACAGAACGTAACAAATATAATTTACATATATTTGCACTTGTACTTTATAAAGAATAAATTTTTAAGAAAGGCAAGTTGGGGATGCATCAGAACTAGAATGAATAAACAAGAATGCTAGCTTTTTTTAAAGACACATTTATTATTCTAAACAGTATTTGGCACCTTAGCTGTGGCTTAAGGGACAGAAGTGGAATGAAGCATGCTAGTTTAGCTGACTGGGTTGTCTTCCTAAGAAATGAGTTTTCTCTTACTGCCCCTATTTATATAACCTTTTCTGTTGTTTTTTTTTTTTAATTTCTTTTTTTAGAATATTAGCAGTGGCAATATAATAGAAAACTTTTTTGGATTCATGTACTTTATCCTGATCCTATTTTTGCTTTTATTGATAGACTGCTCATTGGAGAAAGAGTTTTGGTCAAGGAAGAAAAGGAGCTCTGCACCAAAATGTGAAGCAGCAGCAGTATCTAAAGTAAGAAAGAAAAGTAAATCTGATACTTCAGAAGACCAGGAGATACAAGCTATTGGTGGCAAAGATGCTTCCATCTTTCTTTTCCATGCTCTGGGGAAAATAATTTACTGCAAAAGTAAGAAAACTTTGACTCATTCTTCCTTTTAATGGGCAAAGCATGTCAGCTGCCAATAGCTAGATTTACTAAAGTAAGGCTTAGTGTGAGCTCTAATTTCATAGAATCATAGAATCGTTAAGGTTGGAAAAGACCCTTAAGATCATCGAGTCCAATGTTAACCTATCACTGCCAAGTCCATCACTATACCATGTCTTCGAGCACCGTATCTATCCATTCTTTAAATACCTTCAGGGATGGAGACTCAACCACTTCCCTGGGCAGCCTGTTCCAATGCCTGACTACCCTTTCGGTGAAGAAGTTTCTCCTAATATCTAACCTAAACCACCCCTGGCGCAGCTTGAGGCCGTTTACTCTCATCCTATCTTGTCCTAATTTGCAGGTTTGGTCATTAATGACAGTATAAAAACAGTAATAAAAGTTTGTGGTAACTGAGATTGCAGCTGTCTGTATCTATTAGGTAAATAAATGTTTCATTAAGATGTACTACATTTATGTAATAAAATTATATAACTCTAGTTGCATTTGGTCCATGTGCTTCATGCATACAAAGCTAGATAGATAGTCACCACATTTGTCGCTTTTTACAGAAGCAAATTTTGCTTTTGTGCAGAATTATACATTGTTGTGCGCTTATGTTCTATACTCGTCTGTATTCCTAAAGGTTACAGAACAGCCTCATTGCTTCTGTCTCCCTTATTTGTATATATGGGTTTGACTCCTGGTGTCTTTTCCTCCCTACTGTTTATCTCAACTCTTTGTTTCCCTTTAACAGACATATGTGCTCTCTCCTTTCTGACCTGAAAACCTCGTCCACTTCTCTGTCATACCCTGTCTCCCTTTCCACCTTACTACTACCGAAAGTTCTACTTTTTATATGCTCAGGTTCTGTAAATTTACAGAACCTATCTCCTCCCTCTGTGTGGTTACAGTACTGTTTTTTTAACATTTAAGAACTATATTTCATAAGCATTTTATACTTACTAAACTAGTACTATCTGCACTCAGCTAAATCAGGATCCATAATGCCATTGGCTGTCCACATTTCAGGAATAAATTCACAATATCAGTTCCAAAATCAACTGAGAAATAGTGAGATGAGGGAATATGAAAATAACTTGATGAAATTTGTTATATGAAGTGTAATGTAACTAATTACGTGTTGTTGACTATGTAATATTGACTATATAATTAAGCACTTACGCCTGCATCAAGAGCTTTCTGGGAACTGAAAATGGTGTAATCTAGTTGCTGGTAGAGATGACAGTTGCTAAAAATTATGCTCAATATATGTGAAAACTACTATTCATGCAGTTACACATCTCTGTTCTTGCTCCTATCTAATTTTTATTCTAATTTTGAATATATAATCTGAAATGTGTGTCATCTTCTGGCTTTTTTGATTATGTGCAGAAATGTAATAACATTTCTGATACTAAAACTAAAGATTGCAAAATCCTTTGTAGGAGAACCAGTGTCAGAATCAGAATTTCCTCAGCTGCCTGCGCACTTATCAGAATACCATCGAGACACCTTGCTTATTCAGCCTGAGGTACATCTGCAATAACTACTTGATTCCAGTTTGGTTTGAAAAAAAACCAAAACAAACTCTAAGAGATTGATGCAAATTCTCAAGCACAGTGGTTTTGTCACCGATCTTAATATATGTGTACTCAATCTGTCTAAGTTACAGAATAATTAATCTGGAAGGGACCTCTGGAGGCTAACTTTGAAGGTACCTTAGGTTCCCAGGGTCTTGATCTGTGGAGTTTTGAGTATCTCCAGGAACAGAGATTCTCTCACCTCACTGACGGACTTGTAGTGGAAGGTGGACTTTCCCTTGCTGCAGCCTTTGATTGTTACTTCTCATCCTTTCACTGTGCATTGCCAAGAGGAGTCTGAATTCACCCTGCCGTGACCACCCATTAAGAGAGTTCAAGACAGCAATGGCTTCTGCCCCTCCATCCCCACCATTAGCCTTCTCAGGGAGCAAACCAACCTCCCTTCTGTACATAAGCATCACTTCGTAGATCATGTGTGCCAGCTCCCTAACCATCTAAATGTATCATAACTTTTATAGGATGCTTTTCCTTATACACTGTGTAAAACTTGAACTTTTTTTTTTTTTTTTTTCCCTAATAGGATATTGTGGAAAAATCACATATGTCTGGAAGCATGTTTAATTTATACCTTCACCAGAACTATGTAGACTTTTTTTCTGATATAGATGATGTAGTGAGAGCCAGTGAATATTTGAGCACTGCTGATGTCCTTTGTAGTGCTTGGAGTGTAAGTGTCATCTTTTCATACACACATACTTTTTAATACTCTGACATCGAGCTTCTAAATTTTTCTCTAAGAAAGCAATTTTCCTACAGGTCAATAAGAATTAAGCTATATCACTTCAAACGTACAGTGTAGGTGACAGTGAATTGTTAATGAATGCTACAGTACACCAACTACAGAAGAGATGCAGGTCCAACTTTTTGTCCAGCTTCTGTCAGTATTTTATTATAGTGCATTATAGTGTTTGTAAAATACTCTACAAAGTAGTTTTAAGTGGAACATATTAATGCTAAAAATGTGTTGGAGTCTATGCCTTTTCCCTTCAGTAATTGACCTAGCTTTTTCATTCAGTTGCTTTGAGTCAAAGTTTCACAGTAATCTAACTGCATTCTGGGCACGTCATGTCACTGCAATTACAGAGTGTGTTTTAGTTCAAATGAAATGCACTGTACCGAGACCTTGGGGCTCACATAATGCCTGATTTCTCTCTTAGACACGGTTTGTGATGGAAGAATACAGTGCATCTGTGGCTACTCGAGGGGTGATACATTCAAATACGTCGAGAGCCTTTGCTCACCACCAAGGAGGGATGGGGTTCCGGCCTTTACATAAACCCCAGTGGTTCTTTATCAATAAAAAGGTAAATGCTTGGGGTTTTTTTTTTTTTTTGTAATTATTCTTTTTTTTGCTAAGATATGACAGTTGAATAGTATAGATGAGATTTGCTCACAGTGCTAAACTTGTCAAATATCCTATTTTGATATAACCTACTTCTAAAAAGCACTTGCTTGAAGAGTTACATTTGTTTTATTCCTTTAATGGAAAAATAAATTGGAGACCTCTGACAAAGTCTCATTCCTGTATCTAAGTTGGCATACTGCTGGGAGTCTTAATCGTAAGTCAATAGAGACGCAATTAGTGTTGAAATACTATAAAGTATTCCTAAAAGTAAGTATAAGTTTTTGTGCAGTTCAAATCACATTAAACTGTTGTGTAAGTTTAACAAATTACTGCTGCTACATTTTATGTATATCTGAAATAGCTTGTTCATGAGATACCAAAGATACCAATTTTTTACATTTTAACTAATACTTATCTTGCTGTATCTGGCAAAAAATATTGGCCTGGATGGGTGGGGAATTCTATAATCAAGGGATAAATATTTTCTGGAAATTTTAATGCTAAGCAAAAGGCAAAAATGAAGGAATTTACCATTTTTATGATCTGTATATGTTAACTCTAACTGCTTATCTTTTTTTCTGGTCTCATTTTTCAGTAGCTTGTGTGTAGTGATCCAGCAGGCAAGAAGAAAGTCTGTCTTTTATGGTACAGAACATCTACATTAATAATCATTTACCACTTTTTTTTTACTTGTGTTTCTTTTTCCCCCAACTCCTTCAGTATCAAGAAAACTGCCTTGCTGCAAAATCTCTCTTTTCAAGTTTCTGTTTACCACCCGAGTGTCTTCAGACAGAGCTATTGCCTTATCTTGCTATGTTAGCAAATCCAATGAGAAACCAAGGTAAGAAGGGTGTAACTCTTGATCTTGGACTCTTTTTTTGTAATTAAAGCATACTGAAAAATTCTGTAGCCCAAAATGCTGATACTATCTGTGCTTTTGCCTCGGAAAAAAAAAAAATACTTATGGTAAATGCATATAGCCGATGTCCAAAAATGTTTGTAGTAACATAGCCAAAATTAAAGGTGTCCTGTTAGGTTTGAAACAACAACAAGAACTTTTTAAAAACTTTTGTAACTGAAAGAATTAAAATAAGTATCTCTCTTGGCAGAAGTGAGGCTTATATGATGCTTTATAAGTGTGTAAGATGGGGTCCTCATGTTGGAGTATTTGAAATCATTTTCCCCTTTTTTTACTGAATGGGTTTCTGGCATCTGTGTACTTTTGAATTTCATCATGTTGCCCTCTCACTCAGTCTCTTAAGGTCCTTGCACAGTTTCTGTCTGTCCGCATCCTTACTAGCTTGTCTAACTGGGTTGCACCAGCAAACTTGCTCATCTTGCCCTTCAGCCCATTTTTTCACAGGGTTATGTTTAAGAATGTATTGGATAGCCCAGGTCCTAGCACAGATCTTTGCAGAACTGTATTGGCAACTTTATTCCATTGCAAGAGTTAAACTATTACCTCATACCCCTCTTCCCATTTCCTACTCATTAATTATTTATCAAACTTTAGTAATTAAGTTGTTCTCTTAGGCTTAGGGCTTCTTTTTAATCTACTAGAGGATTTGGTGAGAAGACATTTGGAAATGTAGTAGGCAATATTAACTAAATCTTCATTGCCTACTGATCCCTTTCCAGTACCATCAACAGACTTAAAAGGCTTTAAAAAGCCTGTCCCAGATAAAGTAAACAAAATCCAAGTTTGCAGTGCCTTAAAAAAATGTGTAACCTGAGATAATACAATAGCAGACAGTTCATGTGGAAAAATGTACTTGGTATGGTACATAATCCAAAAATTATTGTTTAGACAGCTGGGTTGCTTATGCTATGTTAATTACTTCTAATAAAAGGCTTAATGTCTTAACTAAGGCATTGACATCAGGGCGAATTCATTTTGCAGGCTATGGAATAATAACTACATCATAAATACACAATTGATGAATGTCAGGAATTTTTTTTTATGTGTAGGCAATCCTGTAAATATGTTATGGTAATGTGGTAAACAGTTTGGGGAAAAAAAAAACATACACGTGTGCAGTGTTTTGGTATCTAAAATGTTGCAAATATATATAGGAATATTGACTAAACATATTAATTATTTATTTTCCAGTATGTTTAATTGTATGTGTGTTATGATCTACTCAGTATGATACTGGTGATTCTTTGTTCTCAGCTCAGATTGCTTTTATCCAAGACGTTGGGAGGCTACCACTGAAAAGACATTTTGGGAGGTAATCTTGACTTCTGTCTTTTCTTAAAGAAATTAAGACTTTCTTTCTTTCTTAATATATTGAGGAAAAGAACCCTGTCATAGAGAAACATCTTCACTGTACATCTACGATGTGACATTTTCCCTCACTTGCAGCATGATAATTTTATATTTTGCCTGTTAAACTTTTTCTAGTTCAAATCTATTTATCATTACAATGTTAGTAGCAACATTTTAACTGTAATTTTGCTTTTTATCCTTGTTTAGCTTTCTTTTCCATTATATCAAAGGTTAGCTCTATCCTAGACGTATCTATGTTTCTCCAGCGCATGATCTGAATAAAATATTTTTTTACAATCAAAAACATTTATGTGAGAATAAAACTGAATTGATGCAGAGTATAGTGTGCTTTGCCTATTGTTTATCATGACATAAAACATTAATCTGGAAGTTTGATAGAACATTCTGTGTTCACATGCATGTTAGAGGTGTAAGAAAGAAAGTATAATGGGGAATTATTTCTTTTGAAGCAGTTGTATATCTATGGAACTATGAAATATTTTAATGAGTGCTTCCACTGAAATTGAATAGCAGCACTAATTTTTATTTTGTGGACTTTTTGCCTATCAGACTACTTAGAGTAAACCTTTGTTTAGAATGCATTTTTTAAATAAAACTATAACTACAGAAGTTCCTCTGTCTTAGATGTTAAATACTGAAAAAATACTGTTTATTTCAACTGTGAGACTGTAGTGCTCTACCTACAGATTGTGTAGCAGTCATGGGGTGACATGGCATGGCATGGCATATTGTGACTCTAGTGAGCCTTCTGAATCATAGGCATCATTTATGCTAGTAGAGCCTCAGTTACATTTCTATAACTTTGATATCTCTGAAATAAAAAAAAAAAGAGTTTTAATTGTGGTGGTCTTTTTCTAATAAAGGATCGTGATCACAGTTAGCTGGAACGAGACCAACTCTTTCGTCTCTTAACCGAGACACAGTTTGTTAGGGCATTCGACAAAGCATCTCATGTTTATCACTGTGGTATTGCTGTCTGAGTTTAACTATGAAATACTGGCCTGTAAGGTAAAGGCTGTATTACCCAAGAACCACCCTGTTCCCCAACAGTGGTATTAAAAGCCGTTTTGGTTGCTAGTCAGGAAGAAGGGAAAGTGTCCCTAACGGGTGTTTCTTTGCAATCTCCCTAGTCTAAGCCAAAATGTTTGTAACTTTATGAATGAATTGTAGACTTCCTTATGCCATTAATTTTGCCTGCAGCATACCTTTAAATACTGATAAATGTTTGGTATCTGCATTAATAAGTTGGGTGTGTGTCATTTAGAGTTTTATCTGAGGAGTAACTTTGTCCTGAAAACATGGTAATCCTTTTTCATTTGTTCACTATTTTGGAAAGGAAGTATAGAGAAACGTAGGTATTTCAGTAAGCATTTGCTTCCTTCAGCATTTTATTTATTCAGCAATTTATTTATTTTGTGTTATTAAGCAGTCCTTAAAATAACTTACGTGCAGCTGTTTCAATGGAAATAAGAATATTTTATTTATTTTCCATTATATTTATTAATGGAATGGGAATGGTACTGTAGTAAGAAAATGGGCATTGAGGAGAGTACATAGTATTTGATCAGCTGGAGTTGGTGTCAGGATGAGGTTTTTTTCAGTAGCTGTGTAAGTTTTTATTATTACCATGTAAAGTGGGAAAAATAATAAAGGAACATTGGTAACATACTGATACAGAGATGCTAGAAAGACTGAGATGTCCAAATAGTAAAAGAAATTATAATACAAAAAGGGCATTGAGGAGAGTACATAGTATTTGATCAGCTGGAGTTGGTGTCAGGATGAGGTTTTTTTCAGTAGCTGTGTAAGTTTTTATTATTACCATGTAAAGTGGGAAAAATAATAAAGGAACATTGGTAACATACTGATACAGAGATGCTAGAAAGACTGAGATGTCCAAATAGTAAAAGAAATTATAAAATACAAAAAGATTTCCTTTACACTCCTTTTTTTTATTTTTTTTTTTTTTTTTAATTTGCCTGTTTCAAGTTAAATTGCTTCCTGTCCCAAAAGGATTTTGGTTTTGCTTGGAAAGGGTCTAATGTACCTTGGGCTGTTGTCAGTAGCTTAACTGTTAGCAGTTCAACTGAGCATGAGGAAAGCTAAGCAAAACCACTGTCACCATAAGGAGGAAACTTCAAGCAACAACGGGTACTGGGAAAGTGACGGAGCACAAACAGGACTGGGTGTCTTGCTGTTGCTGTGGTTTGAGGCTATGTAGGGAAGTCCTTTCCCCGAGAGGAACTCCTGTGTCTTCTGTAGGCTGTCGTGTAAGCTGTATGGTGTTGAGTTCTGGGCGCAAGTATCTATACCTGGAAGATGTGCGCAGAGCTGTAAAAACGTAATACTGAATGTAGTGATGTAAGCACAGAATGTGTATAGCTTGAATTAACTGTGATCGATGGAGGGTATTACTGCCAGAAAATGTGAAAGCTGTTGAGCATCAGTGAAGGGGGGGTGACTTGTGTGGTACACGGGCAGTCTTTTCTATCGCAGCTTCTGTGTGAGAGAGCAGGAGGTGTGGAATTTTTTTTGTGGTGACTTACTGTTGCGATGATAATTTTACAGATTAAAGCTTGAAACACTTACTGACAAAGATCCTGGGATACCAGACTTATTTGTTAGCTCTGAGGGGGACCGTGCCGATGTGGTTGCTATGGAGACGGCTATACAGATGGAGAAAAACAGAACAAATGAGAATGAATCGGATGGATTCCCTCTCTCTTCTAGCCAGTGCAGTGGAAGTGAACTCCCTTCCAGTCAGCCTCAGCCTGTTGCAGCTCAAGCAATCATGGAGGAAGACGAATTAAAAATAGAGGAATATGATAGTGACTGAGTACAACAAAATATCAACCACCAACTTGCCTGAATAGATTAATATGCTACAAAGGCCTTTGCTAAAGGGAGTATGGTCTGCACAAAAGTACTGCTTTAGCCACTTAGGTGGGCCAGGAGGCCAAGTCTAAACATGCTGTGTCAGCATTGAGACACCTCTCCTCAGCTTCCTCTTAAGTTTGCAGGATCAGACCTGAGCTGAATACCGAATTACAAACTATTCCCTGCTTCTTCTGAGCCATGAAGTAATCTATATTGATAAAAAGAGAATAAGAAATGATGACGGAAATTAGTTTGAAAGACTGTAGATAAGCAGTGTTACTCTTTAAGTTATTTTTATTTTTTACTCATTTTAATTTACTTTGCAATTGTACAGTGTGTTTCCTCAGTAAACATTTGATAAGTTGTTGGCATTTGAAGGTTTTATTAAAATTCATACCTTCAAAAAAATAGCTGTTTAGAAGCTTGGACCTCCTGAAAGAAGAAACTGAAGTGTACGTGTAAAACGTTTGATATCCTGTACTGATGATGTAAATAAAACTCCTACTGTGTTAATACTGTTTTGTACTCTGACACAGATTTTTATGTGTTTGTAAGTTGAACAGATGTTGTACAACGAATTATTTTGCATTCTTTTTTGAAAGACATTTTCGTAACTTATAGAGGGGAAAATATAACAATCGAGCATAAGTCCTCATCCTTTGTATTCTGTAGGAAGTTAATGGTGTAGTGTGCAGTTTTTCTCCTTAAATTGCAGTTGTGCTGGGGGAAAGAATAATCCTGTGTTTGGTAACTCAGACGTGGGAAGTGCATTGTGGCTGTCTGAACAGACTGTTTAATACTTCGGTGTTTCTCTTTAACTGGGATTGGTCCATGCAAATCAATGTAACACGTTGCTGTGGTTAGTGGTACCATAGGAATAAGAAAAAAACCCCAAACACACGACTTCAAATGTGTAATGTATGTTTGCATTTCTGTATTGCTTACATCCAAAGTTGAGCAGAAGAAAATACGTGTTTATACACCATAACCTCAGAATCAATGCTGCTATTAAAAAGTCCAGATTTGTCTTCTCTCAAGGGACAGGTGTAGTTTTTACATCTATAACTATTGTTTGATTTTGAAGAGGGAAATTTCTCCATTAATTCTTAAATTCTGTTACAGCTGTACTTACTAGAGCAAAGTCAAAATGGTTTTGTCTGTTGATGCCCCTTAACACCTTTCCCCCTTTCCAGGGTGCTTTGGAGGGGGTGACCCCTGCCCAGCTTAGGTGGTTGCTCACTTCCCTCGGGCCTCCTGCAGTTGCGTAGCACTGAAACGCCGCCTGACCCCTCCTGTGCTCCCCGTGCGGGGGGACATCTAGTGCAAATGACAGCAAGGCATGAAATACTGATTTTTACTTTGCAAGCAAAACTCCAAGCTGCTTCTTCATATCTTTTCAGCTTTTCCTACAGTAGTATCACATAATAATAGTAGTAACAGAATTACTTTCGCATCCCCTACTTTGCGTTACTGTTGGCCTTGCCCTTACTAGGGCAGTATTCAATACTCACCTGGTTAATTATAATAGTAGAGACTTATCACTATCAACTACTGTGTTCATAGTAATTTGTGTAAAACCTCTTTCACATGAAAGCACCACACAAAAAAATGCATTATTCTCTTTAATAATCTCTTGTGCTCTAATGTGTGTGCTCTTGCCTCTGAATTTCAGTGGCGTGCAAAATGTGTGATGAGGATGGAAGCCCCAAATTATTGAAGGGTGAGTGAGCACCCAATTAAAGCTGATGCCAAATTAGCATTAAATCAATCCCCAGGTAAGCCAAAGGGAAGTGCTGACAGCTGTTAAGCTTGTGTAACCGCAAGCAGGCACAAGAATGGGTGTCAGTGCTACAGCCCACCCTCCTACCCATGCCTAGGGAGTGGAAGAGCCCACTTCAGCTCCCTCAGCAATGTTATCCCAATTACAAGGCAGAAGAAAGAAGAGAACTGCCCTTCAAACAGGAGTGATGGGAGTCATTTAGGAGCATTCCAAGAAGGAAAGATGTGTGTATTTTTTTGTTGCGGTCAAAGAATTTCAATAGCTATGACAGCCTTTGGGAAACCCCCGTGGCTCATGCTTGAACCCATCCAACACACCCTCTCTTAAGTGTAGTTGTAATTCAAGGTGTGTTCCGCGCAGACAATACAACGGTAACGTGTGAGGCAGACAGAGTAAGCACAGTGCTGGATGCACCTGCCTACTGCCTATGCCAAAATCAGCCCTTGCCCAGCTGGGAAGACACATCTTTGGTTGTCATGGCCTACTCAGGCTTCCCCTCCTCTGAGGAACAGTTATTCAGAAGAACATTTTCCACCTTATCTAACAGCAAAGTGCTCCAGAGATGAACTGAAAAATTCTGCAAAGTGTGGGCCTGAATAGGAAAGCTTGCTCTTGGCAGCAAATGCCACTGTTTCACGTCATGGGGCATTCAAGAGGAATCACCTCTTGGTCTTGATCCAGTTTACCATGAGCAGCTCTCTTCTCCCCCCACCGCCACCTGCCAACAAAACCAGTTACTAACACCAATTGCCCAACATCCTCACCTTTGTGCAGTCCCCATTTCAAATGGATGCCAGAGGGGAGCCAGCTTGGTGAGACGCGCTCCTCCAGCTGCAGAAGTACGTGTTTTGTATGTTTTGTGTTAGCCTTCAGGTTGCATGATAGCATCTCACAGGGCGGTAGTTCTCTCACTAGAATGCAGTGAATTGGAGTTGGATCCAATGTGCATTTACACAGAAGAGGTCTTGGACATAAACATGCACATTGTCTCCCTTCCTAGGCAAATATACAGGGAACTTCCTGCCCGTGTATTAGAAAAAGAGCTCGTGGAACCACTGGTAGTATCAGATACTAGAAAAATGGCTACAAACTACAACAAAAAAAAAATAATCCTAGTACTTTGGCAAAGTTTTCAAGAGTTGTTATCAGAAGTTACCAGATAGGAAGAATTGATTCTGTTCTGTCTTCTAGTACCTCCTTTGGGGATATTGCAATTAAAATCATGCCAATTAGGCAAATCACTCCACTTGGGTTTTTTGTTGACATTTTAGCCCCTTCTCCTCTTTTGTGTCTGGAGCGAGGACCTACTGTGAATATGGGTGTGCAGAGCATCTGACATGATGAGATCTAGGACGCAGCTTTGACCTCTGTGTCCTGGCAGCAGCTACCCCAGCACCCACGAGGAGCATGCACCCAACTTGGCAGCCTTGGAGCAGAGTTACAGGCCATCAGCCCTCACCCTTCTGCTACAGACTTTTTGTTACTGTCTGTACGTTGGCTGCATCCAAGTGCTGTTGGGAAGATCAGGTACTTTCTGTCCCCTTTTACAATGAACAAGAGACAGTCGCTGAGCTTAAAGACGCAATTAGATACAGTCCACTGCTATAATCAGAGCAACTGTGACAAACACACGTACAACTCAGGAAAAATCCTCATCCACTAATAGAAAACAATTTCCATGCCAGCCAGAGGTGGTGGATAATACTATGTACAGTGGTTGTTGTGGGGAACTTAGGTAAGCAAATATACCAGAGGCAATGAACTGGCACTTTATGTGCTTATGTATGTTTATTTGTTTATGTATACTTTTATTTATGCTTATTTATTTATCTATATTCTATCTATCTATCTATCTATCTATCTATCTATTTATTTATCTATTTATCTATCTATTTATCTATCTATCTATTTATTTATCTACATTCACATCAGCTTTTCTCTGCCTATCAGTGCAATGCCTGTCAAAGCATTTTGGAATCAAGGCAAGCTCTCAGCGCAGCTCCATATTGCTTTTATTCATCCCCTGGACATAGCTTTCTTTAGACATTCCCATTGTCCCTGAAATGAACAACTCTTCCACTACAGCAAATGTCAGCAGAACTGGGCTTGTTATAAATGGCTGAGATTTCTTTGGAGACAGAGTTGATAAACACGACAGCACTACGCTAAGATTGAAGAGTGCCAAATTGATTAAAAAGTTGCTTCAACAGTTTTGCATATTTTACACAGCAAGATGAGGCATAACTTTGTTCTCATCTTCCTGACTCATTAATCTGTTCACAAAGCATAAGCAGTTTTCATATACGCACTCCTAAGGAGATGCAGCTCCAGGTACATTTGAACTTACAGGAAGGATCAGGTATTTCTCCTGCTCCTGACATGGCTTTCTTTTCTGAACGAAAGTAACAACAAAACAGTGGTATATGCGCATGAACTAATGAGCATAAACATTTGCCGCTAAATGCTGAGCTGTGATGGTTCAGGGGGAAAGTTCCAGCTTTCACTGTGAGTCTAATTCTACTCACTCTGACACTGATAGCAAAGCAACAAAAATCGGCCTGATGATGAGTACTTCTGAAAAAAAATATTCAAGAGATCATTTTAATGTTATTTGACCCTCTCATTGATATGGATCCTGCGCCAGAAGGATCAAGTAATCCTGAACATAAAAATCACATAGTCTCATGGCTTCAAAGAAATTAATCACGTATTTAAAGGCAGCAGAAGACCACTGCCCCCTATTCACCAACAATAAAAGGGAAAGCAGCAAAGTATATGCGATATCTTTCCCATTTCCAGGTAAAAATCTTGTTTCTTCCCAAAACTATGTATTTATTAATGTGTTAGGCCAAAAAAGTAAAACAGTATTCTTTTCTTTTTATGGAGTATAAATGTGTGTGTACATTTGTATTCCAGCAGAGAAGTCTAAACTGTGATTAATTCAACAGGGTATACTAAACAAATCACTGTCTGTGTAAAAAGAAAGTAAACAAAACTAGTAGTGGTTTCTAAATAAATGCACAGGTAAAAGGCTGCGGACACCAGACAGAGACGTGGCACTTTACACACCAGCATGACAACAAATTCAATATACGTACATTGCTACCGCTTGCCCCACAGCTGCCTATGTCCTGGATGTGATGGGGAGTCCAGCGTTCCTGGGTGCCTGTCTCCATCCC